CACAAATAAATCTAGAGACAGTTTCCTCTCTCCCCAGGCAGCAAATTCCCATGGTCTTAATTAAACTTCCAAATTCATCTTGATTCTTCCTCCCATTCCTTCGAAATCTTTTCTGATGCAGGTCTTCAGGCTTTCTTCTCTCCTGTAATTACCACCTGGAATGTCTATCAAATATGCACACACACACATTCCCTCTGTCTCTCTATTCCTCTCTCTCCCTTCCCACTTCCCTCCTTTCTTTCCCCCAACCCCACCTCTTGCCCCCCAAATTGTTTGAGTCCTATTCTGAATATGGAACTGTGGGGTCATTGTCTGGCCGACCATGCGTAGACTTTTTATCTTTGCAGATCACTGGGTGACTCTTAGTTACCTGTAGATTAAGTCCAAATTCCTTAGTTTGATCATCGAAGTCCTTCCCAATGGCCCAATCATCCAGGCTCCTCTTCTGCCAACCCCATTCACGTGGTGTTCTGGTTACTCTGGATACCGTACTGTCCCCTAAACACACTAGCCTTCCAGGGAACACCGCCCAGGAGTTGTACACACCGTTGCCTTTCATGCCGCGTGATCCTTGGAATGCTCTCTCCCCACACCCCTCCCAGACCTGGCAATAGCCTCCTTATGTTGAGGATCCATCTTAAATGTCACCCTCACTCAGCCTGGGCTAATGACTCCCTCTCCATGCCCCCAGCAGACAACAAGAATGGACCCTATCACCTGTTCTTTAATTGGTGAGTGTGAATCATCCCCCATAGAACCAAGTTTCATGGTCCTTTTATCTAGATCCATTGTTCCAGTGCCTTTGGTGCATTATTATTTTTTAAAATATATATATTCCTTCATTGATTTCAGAGAGGAAGGAAGAGGGAGAGAAAGATAGAAACATCAGTGATGAGAGAGAATCATTGATCGACTGCCTCCTGCACGCCCCCCACTGGGAACCGAGCCCGAAACCCAGGTATGTGCCCTTGGCCGGAATCGAACCCGGGACCCTTCAGTCTGCAGGCTGACGCTCTATCCACTGAGCCAAACTGGCTAGGGCTTTAGTGCATTATTTTAATCTCGGGATATGGGTAGGCCAAAATTTTTATTTATTTATTTATTTTTAAATATATATATATATATTTTTAGAGAGGAAGAGAGAGGGAGAGAGAGAAACTTCAATGATGAGAATCATTGATCGGCTGCCTCCTGCACGCCCCCTACTGGGGATCAAGCCTGCAACCCAGGCATGTGCCCTTGACTGGAATCGAACCCGGGACCCTCGAGTCTGCAGGCCGATGCTCTGTTCACTGAGCCAAACCGGCTAGGGCAGACAAAAATTTTATATAAATTTTACTGTTGAAAACAGAAATTAAATCCAATATGATTAGATTCCATTGTGACTGACAGACAAAAAAATTCTCAAAAACAGAGTTTATTTCTCTTTTAAGTACCTGAAGTATGTTTGGTGCCCATAATGTGAAGGATCCAGGCTTCTGCCACTCTGTTATGCCCCAGGCATACTTCTTTTCTAATCTGCACTTCAGGATCCGAATTGGTTGCTACACCTCCATCCATCACACCCACATTCAATCCAGCAAGAGGTAGGAAAGGGAAGAAAAAGGGCACATTCCTTCCGTTCAAAACACTTCCCAGAAGCCATATGTTCTCCTTCCATGTCCTGGCCAGAAATGAGGAAACTTACAACACCTAGCAATAGGGGAGGTGAGGAGGGCAGCATCTTTATCTCAAGTTTCACTTTGCAAACAAAGCACGTACTCACGAAACAGACTCCCTGCAACTGTGATGACATTTGAACTTGTGCTCAAGGCAGATTAGTTAATGCAATGCACTTAGCATTCATTATTGTGACTCAAGCACATATTTCCATATGCATTATGGCTAGGACTTAGGTTAACTCAGGCATGTGTATGTTACTGCCATCACTGCCTCTGAGATTGTCTCCGCCTACTGCGAGCAGGATTGCTCTGCCCAGCTTGGGCTGTTAGACACAGAGCCCCATTCCTCGTTAATGGTGTTAATGAGAAACAGTTCGTAAGCAAGTTATGTAACTTAATTGTAGTCAAGAAATCACCTCAGTTATATTATTGAAAGAAGTCACATCTTAAATGTAAGGACCCAAATGGAGTCCTTCCCTAGGGAAGTGTCCCCTCCTCCCATAGTCTCATCTTAATGGTAGCACCGCCATCTTCCCACCTGTTCAACCAGGAGCTTGGACATGTCTCTATTTAGTCACCAAATTCTGTTGATTCTTCCTGTTTCAGTTCTTCCCTCTACTCCCTGCTCCTGGCCTTGGGTATTCCCCTGGAAAGATGGAGTCTCTGATGCGGTAAATTTGTGGGACTAGAGACCCTTGAGGGCATTAGTATCTCCTTTTACTCAGAAGCAGACAGTTCTTGGTGACAAGGCCACAGGTTCTCACTTTCTTAAGCACAGCAGCTTCCCGAAGCCCCCGGGGCTGTAGCTCTGGCCTCCAAGTTCATTCTAGGGCACTGACTTTCAAAGGGTTTTGATTGCCACCCCCCAGTAAGAAATACATTTTATGCTGTGACCTAGAACATAAGGACACAAATATAAAATGGAAACATAATTTCCACAAAACAATACTTTCGCTGTTACCTGGAATCACTTGGATATTTTGTTTTCTGCTCTATTCCATTTCTAAAATTGAAGTTGGGTGGCACCCACTAAGTGGATTTCACAATGCAGTGAGTCACAACTCATAGTTTGAGGAACCTTTTCCTGGGACTCACATCCTAGTTTGGAAGTGTCAAGACCCAGCACAGTGCAGTGACTAAGAGCTCACACTCTGGGACACACTGCCAGAATTAAAGTCCTTGTTCTAATGTGGCCTTGGGCAAGTTACCTAACTTTTCTATACCTCCCTTTCCTTGTCTTCAAAATGGGAGAATAACAGAACCTATGTTGTAGGTATGTTGTGAAGACTGATATATATATATTAGTGGCCCGGTGCACAAAATTTGTGCACGGAGCAGGGGGGGGGGGGGGCGGTTTCCCCTCAACCCAGCCTGCACCCTCTCCAATCAGGGACCCCTTGGAGGATGTCTGACTGCCGGTTTAGGACCCGGATCGGTCCTAAATTGGCAGTCGGACATCCCTCTCACAATCTGGGACCGCTGGCTCCTAACTGCTCACTTGCCTGCCTGCCTGATCACCCCTAACTCCTCTGCCTGCCAGCCTGATCGCCCCTAACTGCCTCTGCCTGCCTGCCTGATCACCCCTAACCCCTCTGCCTGCCTGCCTGATTGCCCCTAAACTTTCTGCCTGCCTGCCTGATTGCCCCTAACTGCCTCTGCCTGCCTGCCTGATTTCTCCCCCAACTGTCTCTGTCTGTCTGATCACCCCGAGCTGCCCTCCTCTGCCGGCCTGATCTTGCCCCCAACTGCCCTCCCCTGCTGGCCTAATCTCGCCCCCAACTGCCCTCCCCTGCTAGCCTAATCTCGCCCAGTCTCTGTCTCTCTTTGTTTTTTCTCAGCAGTCCTCCAGGCCTCCCTGCCTCCCTGTCTCCCTCTCCCTCTTTCCCGGCTGGGAGGGGGCGGGGCCTGTGGGGGCCGCTCCACTCTCTGCCCGCCCTCCCTTCCATCCAGGCCTCTTCAGGCCCAGTCTGTTTCATTTCCTCATTCTGAGAGAGGCTCCGAGAGCGAGCTGGGAGGGAGGGAAAGAAAGGGAGAAAAGGCTGTGAGCTGGTGGGCTCTGTGTGTGTCTGTGCATGTGTGCGGTTGTGAGTGAGTATGAGTGCTGGCCCCGCCTTCCCCATCCCCGTCTCCGTCTCCGCTGCCACAAGTCCCCACCCACCAGAGCTTGCTGCACATGCAGCCTGGGCATTAGGTTGAGCCTCCGGCTGTTGTGGATGTGATGGACCCAGGGTTTTTATATATTAGGATGTCCTATATAATAAAAGGCTAATATGCAAATCAACTGAATGGTAGAACGATGGGTTTCTATGACCCGCACTGACCACCAGGGGGCAGACGCTTAACCCAGGAGCTGCCCCCTGGTGGTCAGTGTGCTCCCACAGGGGGACCACCACTCAGCCAGAAGCCAGGCTCATCTGGCGAGCGCAGTGGTGGTGGCAGGAGCCTCTTCCGCCTCTGCGGCAGCACTAAGGATGTCTGACTGCTGGCTTGGGAGTGGGCCTACGCCATCAGTCGGACATCCCCTGAGGGCTCCTGGACTGCAAGAGGGCACAGGCTGGACTGAGGGGACCCCCCACCCCCTGAGTGCACGAATTTCATGCCCTGGGCCTCTAATATATATATAAATAAAATTTCCAGACAATTGCCAGGCATCTAGTAAGTGCTTCCTAAGTGTCATCTGCCATTATTATTATTACCATATTATTTTCAAAACCATCTTTGATCTCTCCTGCTATCCCATCCTATAATGAAGCTAAGTTGCAGTACCACTGGTGGGGGCACAAAAAGTACCAAACACTTTATTCACAAAGCTGTACAAACTACACAGTGTGTGGGGCACGGAGGAGAGATGCCCTGGGACCCTGTCCACACAGGCTGCACCCCCGGCTCCTTTCTGCAGGAGAGTAGAGGAGGGAACGCCTTTACCCGCCCTGGCTGGTGTTCTGACTGCTGGGTCTGCAATGAGTCCCTCGGCTTTTCACTAGCAAACATTTTATTTCCTCACTTGCTCTTGGTGATCCCCTAGAATCCCACACCCCCAAAGTGAGGAGGACTTCCTTCTTACTGTGCATCTTGGGGACCATATTAGAATGTCAGTCCATAGAAAGGAAGATTGGGTTTCTTTTCTCATTAATTCAGTGCACCAAATCCAATAAGGGACCAGCCCACAAGGAGGAGGAGGAGGAGGGAGAGAGGATAAGGGGGAAGAGAAGCAGCAAACTTTTCAGTTATGCCAAAGGCTGGCATGTTTCAACCCACCTCAGCATCTCAGATGCTCTGATGGTCAAACTGAGGGACCAAAGGGGCATCTGCCACGTGGAGGGTGGGAACCAAATTCAAGAACATTCTACCCATCACCCAAAGGACCGATTCAGGAAATAAAGAACGGGAGACTGGGAATGAATGTTTCATTGGTCATGATGATCAAAAGATGATGGTTAACACACACACACTCAGACCTCATCCCACCTGTTGCAGGGCTGAAGCAACACCTCCGGGGCCCCCCACCCCCTTGCAGGTGGCCACACCCTGCAGCCGCTGCCCCACTCAGGACTCTGCCCTTCCCTCAGACTTCTGCTCTGTTTTCAACTTCTCAACATGGTGCCTGGACTTGACCTGAGTCTGCAGTGGGCAGGGTTGCAATGTCCATGAATCCGTCTCCATCTCCCTTTCCCACCTCTCTCCTCTCCCCTCTCCCACCCCGTCATTGTTCCCCAGAAACAAATAGGATGGCTTCACTGATCAATTCTTTACATGTACAAACACCAAAAGCAGAGGGAACACCCCTGGTCGCCCCCCTCCCCCCAAACCCCAGTGCTGCGAGAGCAGCCAGCGGCGGGCGAGGCTGCCTCGGGAACGCGGAGCTGCTGGAGCTGTCCGGCTGTTCTGGAAACTTCTTTGGCCTCTGGGCTTTACCTGGAGGCCTCTTCCTTCAGCTCCTTGTTTTTCCGCACCTCTTCCGCGTGCTTATCCTGGGAGGGAAGGGAAGGGAAAGGACAGGTTACACCCCAGGGGAGAGAGGGAAGGACAAGAGAACCCCAAGAATGGCCACCACCGGAAGTGAAGAGCAGGGTCTCAAGGAGTCCTGAGAAGGGACAGAAGGTGGCAGGTGAGACTGGCAGGAGGCAGGTGAGTGAGTCTGCTGGTGTGGCCCAGGTGTTCACTGACTGGGGCCAACCTCCCCGGAGACCCACCTCACAATGACCCTGGTGCCCACCAGCCTCTTCCTCCCTCACCTGGCCATCCTGGGGTTTGCACTGAAGATGCGACTTGACTTAATAGAAGCAGCCGCTCAGTGTAGCTGCTAAAGGAACGGGCAGAGCAGAGGGGCCTCATGGCAGGTGTCCCCTACGCGCACCTGGACTGCCACTTTCATTTCTTGTCTGTGTCCTTAGGAGAGTTGTCTAACCCTCTGGGTGGAAGGTGAGGGCTCTTCAAGTCTAAATGGACTGAAGAATTCTTGGAAGTGCTGTCCAGCTCCAATAGGCGAGCTTTCTTACAGGTGTATTAAGAGGACCCTCTTTTGTTTCCCAGCATGATGAAGCCACAAGATGGACCCTGACTTCAGAGGCCTGTGAGCTGTGTGACCGTGACCAGCTCGCTTCACTGATCAGGCCTGAGCTCTCTGGTCTTTAAAGAGAGGGGCACGCATGGGAGGCTCCTTTACCGCTAGAATTCTGCGATTTTAGTGTTTACCTCTAGGGCTTATCGTTACAACTCATTCATTGTGCACAGATCCGGGTCCTCTACTGGGGGACTTCCTTGTGGGCAGGGAGCATGCCCTGTTTGTTTTTGTATTTTCGTCCCTCCTGTGGCACCTTGCTCATGGTGGGTGCTCAATAAATATTGTCACTGCCAGACCCTGGCATCCATCCAGATATCATCACACCCAGATATCAAGAAGCAACCTAGAACATGCCCACTAGGATATATCTTAAACTACCAATCTGCCCCTGCAGAGGCCCTAGAATTTTCCATGGTCCTGGGGAAAGTATGGGGATGGGTACATCTAAGGCCGTGGTTCTCAACCTTGCTATGTTACCAGCATGACCTGGATAGAATGCTGAATTGCAGTCCTCAGGCACCATCCCTAGAGAAACAGCATGAGTAGATCTAAGATATGATCCACGTACCTGTAGTGTTAAACTTGGCACCAGGTGAGTCTGGTGCAGGTGGTCAATGACCCCACACAAATACTGACACAGGCATTGTTGAAGGTGTCCCTGGCCGGAGCCAGGGCAGAAACCACACACCCACCCCTTTCCTTCATTAGTGGGCAAGGTTGAATAGAGGTCAAGATCCCAGAGAAGTGAGGCCCACTCGAATGTCTGCTCCAACATCTTGCTTCTTTGAGTCTTACCCGACCTCCAAAGCTATTACCCCAGAGTCTGGGTCTTCCTAATCTCTCAAAATCTACCTCTATGTCCAGGTGAGCTCCCTGGGCAGAACCCTAGGTTTCTGGACTCCGTTTCCTTGGCCTCCAATGAACCCCTGTCTCTGACAAAAGGCCAGCAGGACAACTGGGTGCTGGTTTCCCTGCAATAAACATTGAAAGAGCCACCTGGATGCATAGCCAAAGAACTGGGTTCCCGTCCAGCTTAGTGGCTGTGTGCCACTGGGCAAGTCACGTGACCTTCTCTGACACGGTTTCCTCTGACACAGGCATTGTCGAAGGCTTTGGTAAAACAAGGATAAGATCTGTCCTGCTTACCTCATGGACTGGTTGTGGAAAGAGGGGTATGATGAAATAAGAAGTGTCGGGCAGTCTTTCAAATACCATATCATGTTCTACGCCTCAATCATTTCTTCTCGGTTTGGCCCGAGAGCCATGCCTCATCCTATCCCAGTCCCAGATTTTTTTTTTTCCTGCAAGAGTTTGCTCCTAGCCATCCTTCAACAACCGGGGAAGTTTGAAATTACACAAGAGCACTTCCCTCCTATCTGGTACATAGTGGAGGCCTTGCTGCCCCCAGAAATATAAGAGCAGAGGGGCTGCCACATGCTGGCCAACGGCAGGGCCGATGGGACATACAGATCCCCTGTGTAGACACTAGATCTTTCTAGAAGCTGTTGTGAGGGACCGGAGACTCCAGGTGGACAGGCAGGAAGGAGTGGGGACCACGCTGCTCACCATGGGACGAGGCCACCGATCGGGTCCCGGGAGTCACCGCGCAGCAGGCGGCTCCTGGAAATAAAACACAGAGCTGGAGCGCTCCCAGGAGCTGCGGGAGAAACTGGGGCAGCCTTGAGACTCAGGAAACGAGGCCAACGTGTTCTGAGCAGAACGGGCTGTTATTCTGCTGACACGGAGACCAACCTCAGCTTCTCACGTTTCTCATATTTAGGTGACACCATTTGGTTTATTGACAAGAGGCAGCATATTGGAAAGACTCATGACTCCCTCGGTCCATATCAATAGAGTTGGGAAGAATCATGTTTCCTGCTTAATGGGCAGCTCAGGTCATCGTGCCCCTGGCTTAGAGCCAAGAGCTCCAGTCAGCATCTCTCATTGAGCTGAATTGGTCCATTCAAGGATAAAGCCAGGCGTGTACAGCCGCTTGTTTAGTCCTCCTCCCTTGCGTTCTCTAGATGATAAGAGCGCGAATCTCCCTGAGACAATGAGAAAGTTCCACTGTGTAGCTGTGCAGCACGTCCTCCAAGGAATTCCAAAGCTCCACTTATGTTTCTTGCCTATGACTTCCCAAACCATCCCTCGGAACTCGTTAAGGACCCAGCCTAGCGGAATATCCCCATTCCTGCCGGAGGCTGCCTGCTCCCGGAAATGACGGATAGGTCTATGACACTTGCCATGGACGGAAGACCGTGTCCTAGGAGTCTCCTCTCTGGTCAAGGCCGCTTACCTTCTCTTGCAGCCGTTCCAACATGGCAGCAAGGTGGGCCTCCCGGTTCTCCTTATTGGATTCCATCTTCTGGGCCAGTTTTTCTTTAGCCATCTTGATGAAGTTATTGTTCTCCTCGATGGCCTTTTGGATCACCTCCCGCTCGTGTTCCCGTTTCTCGGCGAGGTGCTTCAGGAGCTCAGCTTCCTGGTACTAGGGACGCACAAAGGGAGAAAGAGACTCTTGAAGGTGAGCGCGCAGGGGATGTTTTTATCATCTGACTTAAAAGCTCCACACCCAGAACATATGTCTCCCTGAACCTGGTCCCCAGCCTACTTCCTAGATTCTCCACCATACCGTCAGTTGTCTTTTCCTCATGGCCATCATTCATTCATTCGTTGGTTCATCCATCCATTCATTCATTCATGCATTCACAAATACTAAATGACCATATACTATGTGCCAGGCACTCATCTACCAACTTGGGAAAGAAAAAAAGCCTAGTAGAGAGAACATACATAAATAACTCAAACCAAACTAGCATGTGACATATGCTCTAAGAGGGAGGAGAAGATTATTTCCTGTTTGAAAGATGAAGAAAAACTTACACAAAAATTGGCATCAGAGGTGGGCCATGAGAATCAATAGGAAACAGCAGACACACCAGGGGGCCTTCTCCCCCTCCCCAGTGAAGGAGCCCCCTTTTTTACTTGTCTAGTCTTTTCCTAAATCCTTATTGTTCGTCCATGTCTTACTCTTGTTGCTGTGCATGTCCGGCCACCTCTTGGAGGCAGGTAATGCTGTGCCTGAGCCCCCTAACCAAACTGGAAGCTCCTAGAGACCAGGGACGTTTACTTCTTGTTTCTCTCCATGACACCCCATTCTCTGCCCTGGGGATGGGAAGTGCTGTCTAAATGTTTGTAGGCCCTGATCAGTTTGGCTCAGTGGCTAGAGTGTCGGCCTGTGGACTGAAGAGTCCCAGGTTCGATTCCGGTCAAGGGCATGTACCTTGGTTGCGGGCACATCCCCAGTAGGGGGTGTGCAGGAGGCAGCTGATGGATGTTTCTCTCTCATGGATGTTTCTAACTCTCTATCCCTCTCCCTTCCTCTCTGTAAAAAAAAAAAATCAATAAAATATATTTTAATAAATAAATATTTGTAGGTCGGTGGTGACCTGACCCCAGCTCAGAGCCACCACCGGTCTTCTCCAGCTCCTTCCCCCTCCTGCTGAGATGGAGGGGAGAAAGGACAGCACTTACCTTCCTTCGCTCTTCAGCTGCTTCTAGTTTCTTCTGTATCTCTTCCAGCGATGGGTCTCGCCGCCTGGGGAGGGAGGCATTGAACTCGGGCACCCCATCAAAGGAGGGCGGCTTCAGGATGACTTCAAAGGACTGGCCGGAGGTGCATTTGTTCAGCTCGATGACTTCCATGTCGGAGATCACACACCAGTTCAGGTCCACCGTGTCAGCTGCAGAGAGAAGAAGAGGGGCTGCTCACCCCCTGAAGACGGCGTGGGCACCCGTAAAGCACACACACATGCACACATCCGTGGGAGACCTGGGTGCCCCAGGCAAACCAATGACCAACGTTCTGGGTCTGTCCTCAATGGGGCACCTACGTTCCGTGGGCTCTGATGGGGCTAAGGAGAGGGTAGCCACAGTGAGGGCTCAGGCTCCAAGTTTAAGGTCCCAAGATATATGATTTCTGACAACGGCTGTAGCAACGGTGTTTGCTTCTGCCACAAGGCTCCTCCCATAGTTGAGCTCTTGCTCAGATGGTCATCTGGCCAACAGTGTGCACTTACCCACCACCCACCACCCGTCCACTTCTTCACTCCTCCTCCCACTACCAGTCTGATGGCTCAGCCTGTTGACACCTCTCCCCCTCTCCCTCCTACCCTGCTCTCTTCTTTCTCTCCAGTCAGCACTGTCTTTCCGCTGGCTTTGATCTTTTCTCCTACACTGTCTCCCACACCAGCCTAAACAACGGAAAAAAACATTCTCAGGTAACCCAGATACCCCCATCTCTCATTTTCAGACCAAACCCATCCCTTCCTTTAACCCCCAGGAAAGTAAGAGGTGACTTGTGCTCTGACCACCCCCAATCAGGATGTGGCCATTCAGTGCTCCCTGCCAGCACCTAGGGACACCTGTTCTGGGACCCACCAGCATGGCTATCACAGAGCCTCCTTGGGCAAAAGTCCTCTTCCCACCTCTGGGCTCTCCCCCCACATTCCCTACCCTTCCCGGAGGAGGCTTGGTAACTATGGAGTCTAAGGATGTACACCTCTCTTGCCTCCTCTTCCAGGCTAGACAGGCTTCCCCAAGGGCATCATCTCTGCTTCACCTCTGCACCCTCCACAGCATCATTTAAGTGAAAGAACAAAAGCTGAGCTCAAGAGCACTCTGCACAAGGCCTGTGTCAGACCTTCGCCTGCTGCCTACTCCCCAGGCCCAGCCCCGCGCCTGCCTTCACGTGGTGCTTAGACCCTCGGAGTCAGCTGTGGTGGTTCTATTGGTCCTGGGAAAGCAATGGTGACGTGGGGGGAGAGGTTCAGGAACTGGGGTGGGGGTGCTGTACTATGGCTGTGAGCCACAGGAACCCTCCACCCATTACTTTCCTAGCGGGGGCCCTCACTTACCTTCATATTTATAGGATGACTTATTCAGGGGGTCGGCCAGGAAACAGGAGCAGAACAGAGACACCAGCGGGAGCTCCTTCATCTTTTCCTTGTAGGCTGTGGGAACACCCGCAGGTGAAGACGGCCGCCCTCCCCTAGTCTCCGGGCCAGCATCTGTGGGAGTCTGGATACCCCAGCAGCGGGGGGTACCGAGCTCTGCAGAGGCACCCAGACCCACCCCTTGGCTGGGGATCCAGCACCCTTTGCCCCAAGCGGCCCTGTTTAGGACTCCTGTGTGTGATTGGACCCGATTCTGCCCACCTACTAGAACCTGAGCCTTCCAGAGCACGCAGATGACACCATCTTTTCCTTAGCACATCGTCCCCCTTCCTAGTGCCGAATGGAAAATGCTCTCAGGGAAAGATCCCACGCGCCAGCCCCACCCAGCCAGGCATCCAGGACCACGCTCTCTAGCTCCCCACAGGCGCCCAGGATTCTCCATTTCTTATGCTCCAGGCAGTGTTTTCCTGGAAACACGGGAGGTAAAGAAGTGGGAGAAAAAGCTCACCTTCCCTGACCTTCCCAGTACAGTAGTCACAGCCAGAGGGGCCGATGTCCATGAGAGCCCAAGGGGTACCCCTAACCACTGTCCAGTCTTTCTGTGTCTGGGAGGTTTTGAAAACCAGAAGGTCACAGATCATAGCGCACCCCCACCCCCACCCCTGGCATGTGTTCCTGGCATGGCCCGCCCCCCGCCCGGCCTTGTTTTAAGCTCAGGTACACTCAGGCTCTCTCAGCTAATGCCCAGCGCGATGCCTGGGTACTCTCCTCCTCATTTCCTTTTACAAATTGAAAACATAATTGACTTAAAAATAATACACATGGCCCTAGATGGTTTGGCTCAGTGGATAGAATATCGGCCTGCAGACTGAAGGGTCCCAAGGTTGATTCCAGTCAAGAGCACATGCCCGGGTTGTGAGCTCAATCCCCAGAGGGGGGCATGCAGGAGGCAGCCAATCAATGATTCTCTCTCATCATTGATGTTTCTATCTCTCTCTCCCTCTCCCAAATCAATAAAAATATATTAAAAAAATAATACATGTGCATGGCAAATCCTTTTTAAAGCACACACACAGAAGAGCAAAAGGAAGAAGAGCTCAGCTGCAATCCCACCCACCGTCTAGAGAGAACCTTTTGCAACCCTGGGTGTAATTCTCTTATCTTCTGTGCATCTGTAGGTACATACATGTGTGTACAGAAATAACCTGTGCTGTGGTGCCCCATCACAAAAATAAGTTTGTACCTACCAGCGAGGGTCATGTTTTCTGGAAGGTGAGAGCTGAATCCGACTGAGAGCCACAGAGTAGGTCTGTCACCAGCTCAGGACGCTGTTACAAACCGGAGAAAAAGAGAGTATGTTACCACTGACAGGTTATTTGCACAAGGAAGCAGGGAGGGAACCCCAGGAGGCGCCTCATCGGCTCCCACCTCCAGGCCCTCTCCACACACCAACCTTTCCCATACACCAGCCGCCGCCTCCGCACAACCCCTACAAAGTTCAGTTTTGAGGCACCTGAGATGATTTCGGAATTGGTTTCCTGCTGGGGTCCAATCCCAGCGGTCCAGGGGTCCCCAAAGTGTGGACGGAGTCGGCGAAGAAGGAATGACACGAAGACAGCCTTCAGTTGATCAGCAGCCTAGTCAGGACCTCTAGCCAGGATCTCCAGCCAAAGTTCTGGTCGGAGTTCTGGTTAGGAACTGATGAGGATCTGATGTTTATTGTCTTGTTACATCCGTATTTATACCAGCTGATTTTAATCCTGTCAATTTCTATTACAAAGGTTAGGGCGTTTCTTATCTCCATTCCAGGGAGGAAAGATTATGTAGCTTAACTACCCGCCTGACACTTAATTAAGGGGTTGTATCCCCTCCCTAACCTCAGGGAAAAATCCCCACCTGGGGAAACAACCTTTCTCAGAGAGGTGACCTTGGTTAAAACACATGGCACTAAGGAGAGCAAACATATTAAGAACAATATGCTATATATGCCAGGTCCCTTGAAACATATGCTGTGCAGATGTTTCTTTCCTGCAGAGACTGTGTCAAGCAGCAAGGATGGACCGGCTTCCGGCAGTTTCCCAGTCTCAAGCCCCCTGAGAAGGCAGACATGGGTTTCCCCAAACTGTATGGATCAAAGGTTGTTTGTCTGTCTCCCTGCGCAGCTCTTTGGCTTGGCCCAAAGCAAGGGTTAGGGTGAGAGACAAATCCTAAATCAGAATTACCTTGGAGAGGTTGGCAAAATAACTGTGGTGCTTCCCAATGACCCATCCTCATATCGGTGAGAGGGAGTTGGACAGAAGATGTCAAAAGAGCTCTCCAGGTGCCCTCTCACTCCCTCCCCCCAGGAACCACTGTCCTAAGCACTCCTCAACCCCAGACTATGAGAAGAACAAACGTTACTAAGGAATAATGACATCAAAATGTAGTCCAGAGCCCTATGGTTTGCCTCAGTGGTCAGAGCATCAGCCTGTGGACCGAAGGGTGTTGGGTTCGATTCGCGGTCGAGGGCATGTACCTCGGTTGCAGGCTCGATCCTGGGCCCTGGTCAAGGTGTGTGTGAGAGGCAACCAATTAATTGATGCATCTCTCACATTGATGTTTTTCTCTCCCCCTCCTCCTTCCCTTTCTTTCTTTTTAAAAAAAATTTTTATTGATTTCAGAGAGGAAGAGAGAGGGAGAGAAAGAAACATCAATGATGGGAGAGAATCATTGATCAGCTGCCTCCTGCAGGCCCCACATTGGGGATCGAGCCTGCAACCCAGGCATATGCCCTGACCAGGAATTGAACCATGATATCATGGTTCGTAGGTCAACGCTCAACTACTGAACGACGCCGGCCAGGCCTCCCTCCCTTTCACTCTCTCTAAATATCAATGGAAAAAATGTCCTCTGGTGAGGATTAAAAAAAATAAAAGTAGTACAGAGGTGGTAACCGGTGTGCGGGATTACCGTGGGAGCAGAGATGGGACCGTATACTCCGCACCAGGCCTGGAGAGCCAGATAGGGTTCTCTGGTGTTAGCAGCACACAGCAGAGTCTTAAATGATAAGTCAGAATTGGCCAGGAGATGGCAGGGGGGCATTCTGCCAAGGAACAGCACATATAAAGGGCAGAGGTGAGAAAACTTGGTCTCAAGTGACCTCAAGCCGGCTGATGCTGGACCAGAAAGTGTGAAGGAGGAAGAGGTGGAGAAACAGGAGAGGTGGGGAGGGAGCAGACAGGGGAGTGTCTGGGGACAGGGCTCCACTGAAGGCTACTGTTGGGTGGAGAAATAGCCAACAGTGCGTGGCCATCCTGGGAACCACTCATTCCTTGGCTACCATGATGGTTAACGTTTGTGTCAACTTGACTGGGCTATCGGATGCCCACAGAGCCGGTAAACATTCTTTCTGGATATGTCTGTGAGGATGTCTCTGAAAGAAATCAGCATTTGAATCAATAGACTGAGTAAAGATCGCTCTGATCGATGAAGGTGGGCCTCACACGACCCATTGAGAGCCGGATAGAACAAAAAGGTGGAGAGAGGGCGAATTTGCTCTCTCTGCTTGAGTTGGGACTTCCATGTTCTCCTGCCCTTGGACTTGGGAGCTCCTGGTTCTCAGGTCTTCTGACTGGCCTGACCCACACCAGCAGCTTTCCTGGGCCTCCAGCTTATAGACGGCTGATCGTCGGCCTTCTTGGCCTCTGTAATTGCATGAGCCAATCCCTCATAATAAATCTCTTTCTATGTATCTATATATATCCTATTGGTTCTGTTTCTCTGGAGGACCCTGACTGATACCGACACCCTCAGTGCTCACTGTGCCAGAGGGTGGCATGAGCCAACAGCTTCCCTGCCAGCATCCTCACAAGACAAAGGACCCTGAGACTCACTTAGCACCCCTTTCCTTCCTTAATGAAGTGTTTTCCATCTGGGAGCCAGGTCTGTACTGGCTGGGGATGGGCAGGGAAGCCACGGGAAGCATTAGGCTCAGCTCCAGTTTTAGGGCTCAACCAGCGAGGACTCAAACACAGACTTCAGCTCTCTTACTACCTGTCACCAGTCACGTCACATGTCTAACTTTGCTTTCCCCATCTTAATGCTTCAGAGTTTTACAAATTAGATGAGAAAAGCGTAAGTACAGCATCCAGCCAAACTGAGGTGCTTCATAAATGTTAGTTTCCGTTCCTTGGCCCTTTCCTCAGGGTGGTTACCAGGTGCCACACGCTGGCTTCAGAGTCATGGCCTCTGGTTCCCACCGGCCCTGCAGACACTGTCATCCCCATGTGCAGATGAGGAGAGGGAGGCTCAGAGGGTCCATGTGGCTAGAAAGTACAAGAATGGAGATTTGAAGCCGGGTCAGCTGGCCTTGAAGGGCTCTACTCCTGCAGCGTCTCCTTATGCTTCAGAGTCAGAGGCCCTGCCACGCCCCCCCAGTGCAGCACAATGGGCCTCTCTCCTCGAGTCAAGCGGATCCTGACAGTACCAGCGAGTCTCTGAACAGGGCGCGGGCCTCCGAGCCTGGATGTGACATCCGGAGTCATGAGCCTCCATTCTACACCATCCTGCTCATGACTCGGCGGATTGTGAAGGCAACTGGTAGAGTGAGCGAGCCCTGCCAGGAGAGGGAGCGGCCTCCGACTTTACCCTGAGAAAGAAGGAGGCTCAGCTGAGCTTTTTCTCGAGGAGCAGGTGCCTGGAGTCAGGGACCATGCTCCTCAGTGTGAGCGGAGAACGGTAATTAAGACCCCGCATTTATGGAGCACTTTGCAGGTTACAGTTTCTGTCACCCACATTGTCCCAGTTGATCTTTGCATGAGGTTGCCAGTGGTCGGCAAACTGCGGCTCACGAACCACATGCGGCTCTTTGGCCCCTTGAGTGTGGGCTCTTCCACAAAATACCGACTTCTGCGCATGGGCCACGAAGTTTCAATCGCACTGTACGTGCGTATCCGCACGTGGTATTTTGTGGAAGAGCCACACTCAAGGGGCCAAAGAGCTGCATGTGGCTCGCGAGCCGCAGTTTGCCGACCACTGGCTGACAAGAGAGGCATCATCAACTTCATTTTCAGATGAAGAACCTGGGGCTCAGAGAAGTTCAGACTTTTGGCGAAGGTCACACAGCCAGTTGGGGGTAGAGATGGTTCTATGATCCAGGTCGTCTGTTTTGTCCATTCTTCCTTATGGGCAGTGGAAGGACTGGAAGTTAACTGCTCATTCTTCCATGGTGCTGAGGACTCGGGAAAAGCCAGTCCGGCCTGAAGATATGATTTAATTAAAATGTGCAGTGAGTGCTGCCTCTACTTCAATGGAAGATACTGTGCTCAGAGTTTTAGGACAGGAAGAACCAGGTAGAGAACACAGGTCAGAGGGGCAGAGAAGGAAGGTCAGGGCAGGGAACAGGAATCACCCTAGATACAGATGGGCAGAGGTATGCGTGGCCAAGGGCTTCGTAAGTGAGAGTACTCAGTTTCCCAGGGTTGGAATCTGCATAAGTTAAAAATACGTATTTATAGGGCATCTACTATGTGACAAATGCTTTCACTTTAATTTTCATAATAACCTTGTGACATAGGAATTGCTGTCCCTGTCTTGTAGACGTGGGAATCGAGGCTCAGAGAGGCTGTGACTTCCTAAGATCACTCAGTGTCGTGGGCTGAATGGTGTCCTCCAATGAGGCATATCCAAGTCCTAACCCCTGCACGTTATAAATGTCACTTTATTTGGAAAGGGTCTTTACAGTTTAATTAAGTGAAGGATCTCAAGATGAGATCCTCCTAGATTAACTGGGTGGCTCCTAAATCTGATGGTGTGTCCTTGTAAGAGACACACAAAGGAGAGACACACCGAGAAGCAGAGCATGGAAAGATGGAGGCAGAGGTTGGAGTGATGCTGCCACAAGCCAGGGAATTGCCAAAGCCACAGAAGCCACTGGAATCTTTGGAGGGAGTATGTCCCTGCTGACAACTTGATTGTGGACTTCTGTGAGAGAATGAATTTCTGTTTTTGAAGCCACTAAGTTTGGGGTCATTTGTCCCAGTTGCCATAGGAAACGAATGCACCCAGTAAGTGACAGGGCCAGGGTTCAAAACCCATCATTCTTTTACCCTATCTCACTACCAGTGTTTTTACACAGTCTGATGTTTTCCTCAAGATGATCTGTGTACATGTGCCCCTGGGTACACGGGACTCTTTTAAATCTTTGTAGCAATAATTACATCATTTCTATTGCACTCAAGACTCAAAAGATGTTGCTGCCCATGGAATATTCTTTTTTTTAAAATATGTTTTATTGACTTTTTACAGAGAGGAAGGGAGAGAGATAGAGGGTTAGAAACATTGATGAGCTGCCTC